AGGGTTTCCGAGGCTGTAAATCTTTACGGGAACAGAAAGCCTCATCTTTCTCCCACAGAACAGCTGGTAGTTTCGAACTGCTGACCTTGCAGTTCACAGCCCGATTCGTAACCACTACGCTATTGGAAATGACATGTTGACAATGGGGTTGTTGTTAAGTACCGTGGAGTTGGTTCCAACTCATAGTGACCCTGCACAGGGTTTCCAAGGCTGTAAATCTTTACAGGAGCAGAAAGCCTCATCTTTCTCCCTCTGATAAGTTATTGAGCAATGTTAGTGATGTCTAGTAACAAGATTTTTTTTTAGCCTACATAGTACGGATGGAGTCTTGTGGCACTGTAGGACGAGCATTGGACTGCTGATTGCAAGGTCAGCAGTTCAAACCCAGCAGCTACTCTTTGGAAACCCTACACAGGATTGCTGCGAGTCGGAACTGACCCAACAGCAACAGCACTTAACAACAACAACAGTGTAGGATACTGCCATTTTATTTATTTTGCACAGGGAAAAAAACTTTCCAAATGCCCCCTGTCCCCAAATGTTAGTGCCTTAGAGGTAGACATCTTAGTTCTGGTGGTCTACTTCCCTGCCCTTTTCTTCCTGCATTACCCTACTTAGTGTACATACACTCATCTACACACACACACACACACTTTCCCATTTTGCTCACTGTTGTGCTCCTGTTTGTTGAAGGACAATATGACAAGCTGGGGTCCCTCTAGTGGACAAAGTCACATTTGCCAGCTACTGCCACTGTTGCCTAAGGCCAACAAAGCCAGGTTTTCAGTGCTGGGACCAGCTATTTCCATCATAATTGTATATTCACAGATATGAATTTAGGTGTCCTCTTGTAAGAAATTGTATGCATAAATATGTGTGTTTACATAAAATAAATTATTATTTTGGATTGAGACTAATCACATTTGCTCTGCTTAATGGTTTCATCACTGAAAGAAGTTCCCTTTAATGAGCCCTCTTCTGATTTATCACTAAAAGCCACGTTAATAAAGAAGAATAAAATAAGAGTCACAGAGAGACTAGTACTCTGCCAAAGTTAGGTTTTTAGTTTCTGTCAATTTAAAAATTATTTTTTACTGAAAAATTATTTTAAGGCATTTCAGCACATAAAAGTTTTGCTAAGATAAATTCCAAATTTTGGTATGTCGATGTTTTATGATTTTCCTTGAACGTGTTATCAGTAGCTTGTTCCCTGAATAAAAAACCCCAACCCACTTCTGTAGTTGATTCTGACTCATAGCAGCTCGGTGGGACAGAGAACTGCCCCATAGGTTTTCAAGGCTGTACAGTTTTCTTCTGCAGAGCAGAAGGTGGGTTCAAACTGCTAACGTTTCAGTTAGCAGCTGAGCGTATAACCAGTGTGCTACCAGGGTGCCTACATAACCTTAAAATTTTTTTTTTGTAAGTTTTTATTGTGAATTGAGTGATAGTTTACATTGGAAGAACATT